ACTACATGCCAGGACCTGTCCCAAGCACTTCGAGTGTATTAATTCATTTAATCCTTGCAACAACCCGAGTAGGCACTATTATTCTTCCCACGTTATAGATGAGGAAACTGGGGCCCAGAGAGGTTAAGACTCTTACCTGAAGTGACACAGCTCTGAAGTGCTGGAGCTCTGAGGATGATAGAAGTAGCTGTTTCAGAAGTCCAAAATGGGTCCATGTTGTCTTGTTTATATCCCTTTTCTCAACTCTGAGTCATCTAAGTCCTTGTCACATGGGAGCATTAAAAGGGGGAAGTTGGGAAGGGAGAGAGAGACACTCTCTCCAAGAGAATGACTCCCAGTCAGGAGTCAGAGCTACCATATGGGCAACCACCCCTCCTTCTGGATTCATCCAGGAGACACTCCAAGCCCTGGGACAGACGACTGGGGGCTCACGTGGGAAAAAGACCCAGGGAAAACAGACCTAAATCATCGAGGGCATTTATTGACTCACAGGATTGAGAAGTTCAGGAGGAGGGCTGGCTTCAGGGCCGGCTGGGGCCCAGTGTTCACATGCAGCTCTCAGGAAGCTCGAACTCCCTGTCTTTCAACTCATTCTTGTGTCCACTTCATTCTCAAGCAGGACTCTCCCAACGTTGCTGCAAAGGTGGCCCTCTAGGGAATTTCCTAGTGACTACTTTAGTAGGCCTCTTTCCCAGCAGTTCCCACAGAAATCCCAGGGCTGACTCTCACTGGGCCACGTTGGCCCATGTGATCATCCCTGAACCAGCCGTGGCCCGGGGAGGGATCCTGCTGATAGTACCAGCCTGCATCACCTGGCTGCCCCTGGGACTGAGTGGGCAGGGGTGACCCCTACTGGCAGGAGAGGGGAATGCAACCGGCAAACAGCAAGGTGTCTATTAATGAGCCTCTGGAGGGAAATAAAGCATTTCCCACCCAGACAAGGGGGATGATTAGACTTGGCCTTTAAGGTCTGCAATCCCACCTCCTCATCAAAATGCACCTCCCCTAATTCCAAACTGCGTCGGCCATCCTGGCACACTGGCTCATTTCTTTGCCCGGAGGGAAAGGCTCAAGCTGGAGTCACTGCTGCCCCGGGCCCAACACACCCATGATGCTCACAGGAATACCCACAAAGCCTACATTTCTACCTATTGGCATGACGACTCCTCTATTAATGGGCATGAGCGGAAGTCAGCTCCACAGACGGACAGGAAACTGAAAGCAACAGAGAAGCCAAGAGAGACACAGAGAGTGAGAGAATGACTGAGAAGCATAATTGGGGGGGAGGGGTTGGAGGCGGTGGATCCGGGGAGACAAGTCTGGAAGGAACTTCATCCAGGACAGAGATGTAGACACACAGGGAAGACGTCAAAGGAGGGAGCCAAAGGGTGTGAGCTGAAGCATATTTTTGGTTGAGCAAACAAGGCTCCTATGATTCTGTTTTGTCAAGTTGAACTTTCTCTATCAGGAGTTCAGGAGTTTATTTCGCTGAGCAATCAATCCTGGGAAAAACACTAGAACATGTTAAAAAGGAAGGGGGGGTGGGGAGGAGAGGCAGACAAAACAAAGGAGAGAACATTTGCCTCCAGGTGGGTCAGCATGGTGAGTCTTGGCAGGCCTGGCTAAAACAATAATCTCACCACCACCCCGCCACCACCCCCTTGCAGGTGGCTCAGCCAAGTTCAGGTTTCAGGTGGAAGACGAGGCAGTGAGACAGGCCAGAGAAAAAGACACTAGTCAACTCTGGAGAGGGAGTCTGAGCTGAGGGAGAGAAGTGCCCCAGCTGCTGGGAGGGGAAAGGGCCCTGGGAAGGCTCTGGCTCTGGCCTGGCCACAAGTCACTTAATTAAGACAAGACAAAGTTACACTCTACCTCTGGGCTGACCCTTCAGAATCCCGGCCATGAGTCACAGCCTCCCAAAGTCAGGGACATGGCAAGCTGGTACGCTTGACCAGGGAGCAGGCGTGGCCTTTCCAGGAGGGCTCTGCCTGGCTATGCCTCTAGGGCTGTGTTCTCACCTCAACAGGGTGGTCCCACATCACCTGCCCACAGTACCCAGCCGGTGCTTCATGACAGCAGCTAACATGACCGTGGGAGTCCCTGCCTGCAAGGAGCTCAGTGTCTTACACAAAGTCAGGGCTACACAGGAGAGGCCAGACGCGCCGCGCCGGTGCAGGACCTTCTCACCATCCATCAGATTTACGCTCTGTTATAATGCTACAAAATCACATGGTGTTCATGATTTGAATTTTTTTTATTTTCTGAAATGGAACCATTGTACATTGTACAAACCATATCTACTTGATGGAATAAATAAGTGAAAAATTATACTGCTGTACAACACACCAAAAAAAAAAACAACAAAAAAAACAACCAACAAAAAACTAAACAAAAAACCCAAACGTAAGAGGAAAAAAAAAATTAGGTAACGGTGAAAAAAGGGTCTTTATACCTCTAACCGGGTCCTTGGCGATAATGAACATTCCAAACCATGACATCGTTGGTAATGGGAGGCCACCACCCTATGAACGGGCCCACCGCCTTCCGGGTTCCGGGTGTAAGTGCCAGCACTTCGTGGAATGTGTAGCCGAAGCTCCCCTGACTTCGCATGTGGCGAGGAGCAAGGTTGCCCTGGGAGCCCTTTAGGCCATGTGGTGGCCGCGGAAGGCATTGGCTGAGCGCCACCCCCCCACCCCCCGCCCCTGGCTCGGCCGGCTGAAAGGTCTTAGATTCTGTGATGCGAGGGGGGTGAGGGGCACAGGGTGGGTGGGGGACAGTGGCTCCGAGGAGCGGACTGCGTAGGGGAAGGAAGCACATCTGGATTTTGCAGTCTCACTGTCCCGCGTGGAAGGCCTTCCTGGCCAGTGGTGAGTACAGGGCCGCTGGTGCTTTGCCTGGTGTGGCCTCAGCAGCTGGGGGGGGGGGGGGGGGGGGGGCCGGGGCCCAGTCGGTCCCGGCCACGGGCCCCTTCCTACCTTCAGGCACTTCAGAGAAAAACAAATGACAGCCTCGGTGTCGCGGATGTCGTCTTCATCCTCAACCGCGTTGACTCCCTTTGCCTGGGTCCAGAGAGGCCACCGCAACCGGAAGGGGCCCCCGGGGTGGCAGGGGAGGGACCCCCAGCCGACGTGCCGTTTCTGTGGATGCGTGTGATTCTCCTTCAACTGTCTTGGTTCTAACCTCTCATTTCCCAAAAAGAAAGGAAATAAATATCCAAATTCATCTTTCATCAAAATGGAGTTTCGCTGCAAAGAAAAAAAAGTTACTCTAGCTCTAGAGGATCTGGAGGTAAAGCCGCCTTGAGATATGCTGAGAGGTAACGCAGAACACGGTTCTGCACAGAGCTGACTGCCTGAGGGGCAAAATTGATAAGGACTTTTTTTTTTTTTTAAGACAGAAACCTTTCGGCATTGCGAACTTCAACATTAAGATTTTCAAAGTTTGTTTTTTGTTTTTTTTCCCTTATTTCAGGAGACATTTTTGCATGAGGTATTTGAAATTCAGGAACATTTTGATTCTTCTTGAAGTGCAGGAAATAGATTGGCTCCCTTAAAAACAAGAAAGAGCCTCACCCTCAGAAACTTAGAAACTGGCAGACACTTTCCATGGTGGTCAGGAGAGAGATCCACACGTCAAAGGTATCAAAGGTGGTACCTGAATATGCACCAATCAGCAAAACAAAAACGAAAACAAAACAAAACGAAAAACCACGAAACAAAACAACCCTCTCCCCCAACCCGCCCACCCCCTCACTCAACTCAAAGGGAGCTGGAACTCCAGTGCAGTAAAGAAAGCTCAGGAAAAGGGTTAAGGTCCGAGGAGTCCATCTAGGAATTAAGAGCAAACCAGGCCTCAGAACCAAACAATCAGGCAGTTCATCCAAGGGGGTATCTCCATTTTGGTGAGAGGAAGGTGTCCCGGCACAGGCAGGGGACGGAGGCGAGGAGAGAGGACGCGACCACCCCCTTCTGGAGGAGTGTAGAGCATCCCACTCCTTGGTGCCTTGCTTCTGGCCTTTGAGGCCCAATCCTCAGGGTCTGCTCCCCCGTGGGGACCGTGAGTGCATCCTGGGAGCGAGAGGCCATCAGACTGTTGGCTCTGAGCGTCAGGAACACTTCGCAATCTTGCCTCCCCCGGGGCGGGGATGGGGGGGTTGCCGGGTGGTGGCGGGGGGGGGGGGGAGGCAGAGGGTAGCAGGTTACTGCGGATTTGAAATCCAGGCAACATCGCATGACAGCAAGTTCAGCACCAGCTCTTCCCGCTATCTGCTCCCAGCCTCCTCAGCCCTTTTATCGTCCTAAGGAGACAATCCTGCAGTCAGCCACAGAAGCCACTTCATCTTCGGAGGTGTGGGAGAAAGCCGTGTGGTGGGGGGAGGGTGCAAGTGCCAGAGCAGTTGAAGGGTTCTGTGTGTCCGTCTGGGTCACCACGGTGGCCTTCGAAACACCGGCCCCAGATGCCCCGAGGAAGTGAGAGAGCACATCCAGAAGCCAGCCCTTGGCGGCAGTGCCCCGACATCCAGGGCTCCTCGGACTTTGGACCCAGGGCCCAGGGCTTGCCCGACACCCCTGCAGCTGCAAATCAGGCGGCCAAGGAGGTCCTGCTCTTGCGAGGCCTCGGGTCCCCCTCCTCCCTGCCTGCTCCGCTCCAGCTGAAGTCCCGGGTCAGGGAGGAGAGGTGTGAGGACGGTGGCGCCAGCTGCCTGGACCAAACTGAGGGCACTTTGCAAAGGGAGATGCAAAACAACCAGGAAAACATGCCAGAGGTCACCTCAAGGGCACAAGGCACAAAAAAAGAAAGCGGAAGGAATCGGGCGAACAGTGAAAAGCCCCGACGAAAACCGATTCCCTGATCGGTACCACCCTCGAATAGCTTATATCGTTAAATACAGAAGTTGGGGGGGGGGGACACAAAACAATACAGCAGCAACACAAATGTAATCTTGGCTTCAGAGACAGTGTGCAGACACTCCTGAGCTGTCAACCCCATCTTCCCAAGGACAGTCCCTTCAACACTCGAGTGTTTTGCTTCACAGCAGAAAGTTCTTCAGTGTCTGAGAAGTTACGCTGTTCTGGGTTTTCTTGGATTTGCACTTGGTAAACTTGGAAAGTTAGTAGTCCTGTCTGCACCCGAGAGGAATTGCTCAGGTGAAGTTGTTCTAGGATTCAGCCTGCAGATGGATCTCCCGTGAAACATGGACAGCAGGACTGAACGTAGTGTCTACATCTCTTCAGAGTTCTGTTGCGAGGCCTCCAGTTTCATCTTCTTCGAGGGTGGCACTCCTTCCAAATCCTTGGCGGGGGGAAGAAAAGAGGGCACAGGTTACCACACCAGGAAGGCAGTTTAGGCCAGCCGGGAGTTTGAAGGTCAACCCAGGAAGAAACGGAGGACCGGCCTCTGTGGTTCAAACCCGCAGTTCTGACCCCGCGGCCCACGTTCACCAAGCCCCGTGTCACCTGGGCCCTGCCTGTCCCCGCCATGCTGGTTTCCCTCCGGGTCTTCCGAGCACACTGCCCCCCTGTGCCTCTAAGCTCCCCCGTCCCCTGCCCCACACCAGCCAGGGAGGGTGTCCCCATTATCAGCCTTCCAGTCTGTCATTAATCGCCAGGGTAATCATTTGTGCACAACTTCCACGTCGACCTCTCCAAGCTCAGAGATCTCGTCCAACCTTGCCATGTGGTCAAGGGCTCCTCCTGATACTCAGCATTTGCTGAATGCACATGTGAGTTATTCTGGGGAAAAGAGCCGTAGTTGTGACCACATTCCTAAGTCCCACGGCGCAGAAAGGTCCGGCACTCACCCCCTCAACTCTGACTTTCCCACTCAGGCATCTCCAAACTGACCCATGGCCCGAGACCAGCTAACGACTACCCACCTTGACCGGCTCCCCCCCCCCAAGTCTGTCGATGACACCACACCTGCTCAGGATCAAGCTGACGGCCTCACACCCCACCTATTAGTCCCGCCAACTCCGTCTCCAAATACCCTTGAGCCTGCCCACCTCTCCCCTCCACCCAGTGCCATGCTTACACCGTCTGCACCTGAACCCCTCACCTGCCCAGACGAAGTAGCATCCTGCTCCGCGGTCTCCCTACGCAGCCTTCCACACAGTCCAAGAAATCCCCAAACAGCAATCATACACAGAACATAAAACCCGCTGATACTTTCCCACTGACTCCAGAGCAAGATCCTGACTCCTTACCAGGCTGAGAAGGCCCAGCACCCAGCCCAGGCCTACCTGTGCCTCGTCTGGCTGTTCTCTTCCCTGTCCACTAGGCCCCAGCCACTGTGGCTTCCCCTTTTGTTCCTTAGGCTCACTCCTGTCTCCAGGCCCAGCCCAGAAAGCCTGCCCTCGTGGCCCTAGTTTCTCAGCCTTCAAATTCCCACTCACTGCCCGGTTCTCTGCCTACGCCAGTCCAAAGAACGCTCTACCGTCAGGTCTCCTTGCAGCCCCATTCGGGTTCTTCTGCAACACATGTTGTGACCTGGTAATCCGCTTGTGCCTGCGATGCCCTGACTGTGTCATGGTGAGCCCCCTGCGGGCAGGGAGGGACCCCATCTCTGGCTCACCCTGGGTCCCTAGTATCTGACACAGCACCCCCGGTCCACAGTGGGTGCACAACGTATGTTGAATGGAGCCCCCAGGCCCTGAGGTGGGCTGTGTGGGAGTTTCACGTGGCAGACCCTGAGAGCGGGCACCACAGGGAGGCCGAAAGAGCTGCCTCTGTGTAAGCAATAAAAGCCTGACACAGACACCAGAAAAAGCAGGTACTGTGCCTTCAGAGGATGCCGGGTCCCACTGGGGAGAAGGTTCTTTGGTTCTGCAGAACAGTTGGATGGGAGGAAGGCATGTGAGCTTGGGAGTGGACGAGAAGGGGAAACGGGAGCAAAAGAGAGGAGCCATGAGCTAAGGACAGCCGAACAGGGGACAAGAGTCAAAGTACTGCTCTTGTCGGGCGGTTGGGGAAGTTTTGTGTTTTTTTTTTTTTAAACACAGGAATAGCCAAATGTCAGTGTCTAGTTGCTTGCTTAATTGTAATGCATCCTCCACCTTGCTCACAAACTTCGGAGCCCTGTGGACGAGTATGTGTCCGTGTGTGCCTGAGAACAGTGGAAGAGGCCTCATTCCAGGCTTGGGTCCCCCAGGAATGGCAGTGGAGGTGGGGGGCTTGTGAGCTGGAAGACCCCTGCACCTTTCAGACATGGGGGGGGCGGGGAGGAAGAGCACTAGATGCCCCCAGGGTACGGATCAAAGGTTCAAGCTAACCTTTCCTCCACTGAGTTCAGAAGGCCAGGAGACCCCAGCAGACATTCTGGTTTTACACACTGTTCAGGAAGCTTTGATTTTTAATCTAATGGGCTCCAGCTATGCCTGAGGTTCTAGGTCTTGCTTTTCTCATTTCACATTGGGAGGATATTTCTTTCTTGTCTGTCTGTACCTGGGTCAGCCACACTCTTTTTAACAGCTCCATACCAGTCTGTCTTATCCAGGACCCCCCGATTAATTGAACCAGTCCCCTTTCGGCAAACTTAGGTTGTGGCTCACATCTCCCATCAACACTCCTTCTGTGTCTTTGGGCATCTGAGGCGAGTTCTGCGGGAGGAGGAGGCTGCAGATCCAAGGGGTTATAGACATTAGAGTCCAGGAGGCACTTCCCCTAGGGGGAGGCCTGGCTTATGGCTCTGCAAAGCGCAGACCAAGTCCTGCCGCACCCTGGCCCCTTCCAATCTTTCTGCTGCTACTTCCTCCGGAGGTACTGGACAGTAGTTTCACTAGTTCAAGTTCTGATACCTCGGAGTCCCCACTCAGCTTAGGTGGGCACAGAGGGTTGACAGTGAAAAATCACAGTGATGGCATCTGAGGCATTCCCGTGTCCAGCTCCACACCGAGTGTGTTCGCCACAGTCTCTCACCCCATCTGCGCCCTGGCCCCAAGACAGTTCTGTGATCCCATTCCGGCAGCTGCGGACAAGGAGGCTCGGTTATGCTAAGTGAAGGAGCTGGGATTCGAACCCAGGATGTTTGTTCCTAGCCACCGGCCACCTGCTCCTGCACTGATTCGGACCAGATGCTGACAAACAGGGATGACCCAGAATGGGGTCCAAGCAAGGGGGTGGTGCGGTCAGCTGCAAAATTCCAAAGGATGATTCATCCGGCATTTAGGATTCTGAAGACTTATCGTCCCCGCGCTAAAGGAAGTTGACTTGGGGTCACTAGAGCAGGCAAGGCTTTTGTGGACCTGAGTAAACAAAGTGACAAAGCCGAGGCTGGGATAAAGGCCGCCTCCTCTTCCTACACCCTCCTCCCTGAGGGCTGGGCCCCAGGACACTCACGACTCCCGCTCAGTGAACGCAGGGAAGTGCCAATCTTCCGAGGAGAAAACCACAGAACAAAGTAACAAAACCCCTTTCAACGTACCCCCGACACCCCAGCGGGCTCCCGGCTGATCTGGCCGCCCCTCTGAGACCTCGATCGAGGTACCTGAGAGATTGCGGACATCTCTGCAGCTAGACCCGTGTCTCCAGATGGCTGCCGTTCACCTTTCTCTGAACTGTTCATCGAGTTTTCCATTGAAGACTGCGAATTCTGCTCGTCAGAAGCATCTGAGGGAAAGCAAGATGACAGAAGCTGTTTTCAGACACGTGAGATGTGGAGCCAGATGGACCAATTACTAAAAATACCTGGAACTGGGGAGTTTTGTGGCCAGGCGGTCTGTCGGGCCTGCAGTGAGCCGGGGCGCTTGGGAAGCCTCTTAGTTTTTCATGAGGTTGTCTGAAGCGGCCAGGCCCCACGCTGGCCCTGGGGGCCTCCAACCCTTGCCTGCACACCCACTACCTGCCATGTGCCCTAAGAGGACATCTTAGGGAATGCTACATGCTTTGTGCCGCGTGCACCTGGCGCCCTCTAGTGGGCACAACGCGCCCCAACCATCATGGCTGCTGACTCCTCCCTTTTCCATTCCAGAGCCTGCGTTCTCCACCTGGGGAGCCCGCCTGGGGAGCTGGGCGAGGGACCTGCCCCTTTGTAGACTTTTCTCTTATTAATGTGGGTGTTTTCCTGACCATCAGAGCAATGACTGATGATTGCACAGAAACAGAAAATACGGGAAAAAATAAAGTCAGAATCACCGATTACCTCACCCCACCCACAACTACCAACCCACTAACATTTCAGAGGATTTATTTTCATCTCTCCAGATGTTTCCCCCCCCCTACATGCATATAATTCTCTGCTCTCCCCAAATAGAGATCACACAGAATTTTGGAAAAATTTTTCATGTCTTTAAAAATTCTCTGAATACAAGAGTGTACAAGATGGCTGTACGGCTTCCATCCAGCAATCACTTATTTATGAATCCTGTTTTGCCAATGATTCGGGCTGCTTCTTATGCATCGGTCTCCCTCCTCCCCTCCCCAGCGCAGTCCTTTAGCAGAAGGGGGTTGCAGGCCGTATCTGGCTGTATGAGGCGAGGCGGTACGGCTGTGGGAGAGGAGGTTATTTTGGGCACCGAGCCACAGAACTCATGGTGGGAGCAGCATCTTGCCCAGGGCCCCACTTGGCTTGCACTCCAGGCCCCAACAACATCCGTCACCCTGATTTTTTCAAAGGGCATTAGAAGACTCAAGAATGCCTCACCTTCTGGGGTTTCTGAGGCAGAAAAGAAAAAAATATATATATATCCAGGCTTAAGTTTTAAAGCGAGCACGCAAGTCGGCAGCACTCCATGGCCTGAAGCCAGTGGGGAGCAGAGGGCTGGGGAGAAGGGCAGGAAGGAGGTGGAAGACCCCACCTCTCCCAAGGAGGCTGTCCTCCCAGCATGTCCATCCCAGGTGAGCTGCTCTTTAACACGTACTCTGCCTCCCCAAACCAGCAGCCCTGATATCCTGAGGGCAGCACCCGGAGACCCACCACTCTGCCAGGGCCTGAGCTTGGGTGTTCCAGCTGCCGTGGGGAGCCCTCTCCAGGGCTGGGCTCTGCCTACAACCTGGTACCTGGGAGGACCCAGGGTTTAGAAACAGACCTGAGTTCCCATCATGCCTCTGCCACCTGTTTCCTCTGGGAGCCCTAAAAGTCATCCCGGTTGACAATAGCCACGCTGTGGAGTCTTGGTGAGGCCTTAAAGGGACAGGGGAAAGGGCAGGGGAAGTACTCAAGTAACAAAATAACCCCAGGGGGGAGAAACTACCAGGGCATAGGACCACACTCCCCGTCAACCTGACAGTTCTTTAATATTTTGTTTTACTTTTTAAAAAACTTAATTTCTACACCCAATGCGGGATTCCAACTCATGACCCTGAGATCAAGAGTCACACGCTCTACCGACCAACGGATCCAGCCAGGCGCCTCTATTATGTTAAGTCAAACACGGAATCCCTGTACAACCCAGCTCTTCCACCACTAGGTAGAGACCCAAAGGAAGAGGAAATAGGTCCTCAAACTGGTACGTGTACATGAGTGTTCACGGCAGTACTATTCCTAACAGCCAAAAGATGGAAACAGCCCAAATATAAATTAACAAATGAATCAAATGACAAAACGTGGTGCATCCACGCAATCCACAGAGCAAAGTATTACTGACTCACAGATAGGAGGGAAGGAATGGCACCTGCTATCAGGTGGAGGAACCTCGAAAACATGATCCCGAGTGAAAGAAACCAGACACTAAAGGCCACATATTACACGCCACTTATATGAAACATCCAGAACAGGTAAATCCATACAGACAGAAATCAGACTGGCAGCTGCCGGGGGTTAGGGGGAGGGGGAAGGGGGGAGCGACAGTTTATGGGTACAGAGTTTCCTCTGGGGGCGATGGAAATGTTTTGGAACTGGACAAAGGTGAATTTCATCTGTTTTTTAAAAAGGAAAGAAATCCATGTTAATGTTATGTTCTAGTTCGTAACAGACATTTGCTTTAGCAAACTTTGAATTGTTATTGCCCTCCTCTGGCCTCCCCTCTCTGCCCTACACACTGAGCTCTGCAGACTGGACAGGGAGGTTCAGAAATCATGGCCAGCCACCCCGAGAGTCATACTGACCCCCTGCGTGGCCTGAGAGCTCAGCGGGAACTGGCCTTAAAGCTCACAGAGCGTGCAAGGGCTCGGTGCAGCGGCCTGATTCTCCTAGTGCTGGTGCTGGAACTCACCCAGGGGAAATTATTTTCCTAGGGCCTAAATTTAGTCCAGTGAGTTTGGACATTATGTCATTCCCTGAACTCACTCAGCAGTAAACAAGTTCAAAGCAAGGTCAACAGCTGGTGACTAACCCACCCCATCTCGCAGGCTGTACGTACCCACCTGGGAGGCCTTCATGCCTTTCCCATGGGGGCTCCCCCAACAGTGGCAGGCACCCCCTCCCTCGAGCGATGCTGGGCAACTGTGTGGGCCCAGTGGCTGGGGTCGTCAGAAGAGGACCCTGGTGTAGTGTCCGCCTGGACGGGTAAAGCTTTTGGTGGTGGGGGGGGGGGGAGGGAGGGGGGCGGGGTGTTGTAGTTACCAATTCTGGAAGCAACAACCCAAGAAGCAATTTCTGCAACTGAGCTTTAACTGGCTTTTAGGGAAAGGAGATGCAGCCCCCAGACATGGGAGACATGAGGGAGAAAACGGTGGGATCTTCCCCAATTTTAAATGCCTGCATCTCTGACTAAATACACAGTCCCTCTATCCTTCACATAAAGATGTGAGGACAAGACTCCCTGCTGGATCATGTGTGGGGAAAAAACCTGTATGATTATCAACGTGGGGACTATTTGAATAAATGATGACATGTTCGTACCACTGAATAGTACAAAGCTGGTAAAGAGAATGGAACAAACCTGTACGTCCTAACATGGAACAATCTCCATGGTGATTGTTAAGGGAAGTATTCTAAAAAAAGGAGGTTATAATCTCATCTAGATTCTTCCAGGGCCACCACACTAGACTCAACAGAGGTCCTCCTGGGGTAGGGAGAACAGTCGAGGCTCTGACTGGGGGGCTGTCCAGTCTCCGTCCTGATGCCTGCATTGTTCCCCGTGTGTGGGGTCACCTGCCCGCCCCCGCCCCGCCCACAGGCCTACCTGGCACAAGTGCCTTCCGCATCCGGCGCAGACAGGGGGTGCCACACTGAGCACCTGAGACCCTCATGCCTGGCTGGCCCGCCCCTTCCCCACATGTCCCCAAGCACTGCCCCTGGTCCCTTCTGCTTGCAGTGCTCATTTCCCTCCTATCCCCGCTCAGCCTTCGAGCCCACGTCAGGCAGCAGGAAGCCTTTCCTGAGCCCCCTAGGCTCCTTTTTCCTACTAACACAGCACTGACCACAAACTCAAAAGCCCCTCAGTGCCGTGAATGAGTCATGGGGGCTGTTCAACTCAGACACAGGTAAGGAAAAAAAAAATCTGAAGAATATTCTTCTGTTCCTCAAAAAAATACAGATTCTCCCAACCTCTCAGACTTTTACTTTTCCACTTTTGATAGAGAAACAGGTTAAAAAAAACAACGTACTTTTTCTTTAAATGAGTAATAAAGAAAGCAACCGTGATCACGGAGGGATATTGGGCCACGACTCTTGGGCCTCAGTGTCAGGAAGACAATAGGGAGTGGTGGGGAGGGTGGTGACTAGCAAATGCAGGCTCACGCACCCTCCCTGGAAGGGCAACCACATCTCTGCTTTAACCGGTTGCTGCTCCATGGAAAAGCAGACCCAGTATTGCCCAATCTTCTGATTTTCTCAAGAGAAGGTGGAAATCAATCTTCTTTTAAGTGAATTGTTTAATTTTAAAAAATTCTGCCATCCAATTCAAATTAAAAATAAAAATAGCACCAGGCCCGTGGCCACATGTACACGCCCCAGGCCGGATCTAGTCTGTCTGTGGCCTCTGGGGAGTCTCATTCCCAGTTTTGGTGTCCATCCCCCACTGCTTCCCTCTGAGTGCTTGGGGAGCAGGAAGCAGCCTCACACAGGCTGCAGGTGTGGGAAAGCGTGTCAAGGGAAATGGAAAGGGGTTCGAAGTGATGCCACAGCACAGAGAGGCCTTCCTCCCGAGAAGACCCGACCCAGTCCCTCCCCAAGCACAGGGAAGCCTGGCCTCCACCCTGGGCCAGCCCTCTTCCTCCTCTCCTCCCTTCACCAATGTTGGCCAGGCCATCCCCTCAGGTGCCAGGGGTCACCCTCCAGTCCCTGCTCAGCCCAGGTACCACCTGTCAACACATACTCCATCTTGGACCTTCAAACTACACCTCGATACCAGACAAGCAAGAACTACAGACCCATCTTCTTAAGTGTAATGACGGTACCCGTGATCAGGTAAGAAAACATTCTTATTTTTTAGAGTGTGTGCTGAAGTGTTCAGGGATGAAATGCTGTATGATTTATAAGTTACCTTCAAATGCCCTCCCCCCAAATATTTACAGACAAAGCCAAACAAACCAACAACTGCCGAATTCAGCTGACATATATGGGAGAGTACCCTATTTATTTTTCTGTATGTTTCAAAATTTTCTTTTACAAGAATCCAGAGATCTCGGGGCGCCTGGGTGGCTCCGTCGTTGAGCGTCTGCCTTCGGCTCAGGTCATGATCCCAGGGTCCTGGGATCGAGCCCCGCGTCGGGCTCCCTGCTTGGCGGGGAGCCTGCGTCTCCCTCTCCCACTCCCCCTGCTTGTGCTCCCTCTCTTGCTGTCTCTCTCTCTCTCTCCATCAAAATAAATAAATAAAATGTTTAAAAAAAAAAAAGAATCCAGAGATCTCAAAACAGACAAAGATAAGCCAACTTATACATATCCACGTACATGTATGTCCTCCACAGTCAGACTGCCGCTTACTACCTCGTCTGCTCCCACCCGGTCCCACCAGTTGCCACCCTCTTCCATCTGGATGACTGCCTTAGCCCTTCTATCTGTTCTCAATCACAGCAACCAAAGTGACCCTCCAGACCATGGTACTCAGTCCCAATGGCTCCTGTCTCCCTTGGCACAGAAGCAAGGGTCTGTTTAGTGGCCTAAGAGCCCCCCACACTCAAGGTCCTGCCTCTTCTGACCTCATCTCACTTTGTGAACCCCTCATCCGCCCTTCCGCAGCCACTAAGCACACTCCTGCCTCAGGGCCTTTGCACTGCCCATTCCCTCTCCCTACAGTGCTTTTCTCCCCCTTTCCCAAAGGGTTTGCTCCCTTACCTAATTTTAGCCTGATGTGTGCTCTAATGTCACCTTCTCGGTGAGGCCTTCCCTGGCCACCTTATTTAAAATGGAAACATTCCCCATAATTCACCAAGACTCGCCATTCCTCTTTCTTATTATAGTTCTCCACGGAACTTACCTTCCCAAAACTAGAGCTAGTCTAGGCATTACCTTTCTTCTATTGTGACCTTCTAGGGGTCGGCATGTGGCTGGACCTCCTAGAGACTTGTCAACCGACTGCACAAAGGCCCAGCCCCTGTGGGCACGTACCTTCCACCCCAGGGAGCTCCTTCCCGTCGGCCTGGGTCTCGTCTGCCTTAGCGTCAGTGCCTTCACCGGGCACGGCTGAGCTGGGCTCTGGAGCAGGGCTTGAGTTACTGCTGTTCTCCTGTTTGATCGGGGAGGCATCCGCTATGGAGCTCTGGTTGCTGTTATCATCTGCACAGGGGAGAAGAGAACCACAGGGTGAAATCCCCCAGCTACTGAGGAAAGGGGGGTTGGGGGCTCGGCCTCCCCAAGCCTCTCTGCTGGCAGCCCCACAGGACACTCTCCCAGGGAAGGAGACACTTCCCCGCCCTCAAGAACTTAGAGATGAGCCACCAGGGGCCGTTCCATATGTCCTGCAAGGAGAAGGCTTCCGTAAGCCTGCCTGAACGTCCCCCTCTGGCTCCATCCTGTGTGTGGGGGCAGCCAGCGACACACGGTGGCCTCCCACGTTTCAAGTCTTTGGGGGGCCTCTGAGGCCTCATTCTGGGTGAAGAAGCCAGATTTGTGCACCTGGCTCTGTGGCAACGCGAAGGCTGAAACATGGTCCATGAGGCAGCATTACCAAAAATGTCCCACTGATCTAATCAAGTGTCTAGACCAACTTCCACCTGATACAAAATAAAAGGGGGAGAGAACACGTAAACGGAAAGTAGGATATTCCACAGCACAATCGGCCCAGCCTCTTCAAGTCAGAACCATTAAATAAGGGGGGGGGGAGAGGGAGGGAGAGGGAGAGGGAGAGGGAGAGGGAGGGAGAGGGAGAGGGAGGGAGAGAGAAGCAGGGAAAATTATTGTAAAGAAATTTAAGAGAATTAACAGCTAAATTAAGGACATGTGAAAATTATTTAGATTCTG